GCTCACGTTAAAAAGACAATGACAAAAACAAACAAGCAAACAAATGAGCCTAGCAGCCATTTCCACTCAAGGGCCTTTCACCCAAACTGCACTTCTGGGAGAAGCTCACCCTGCACTGTGTGCCTCTCTGTGTGTCTGCCATCTGAGCCAGCCTTTATAAAGGAGTGCCCAGAATCCTGTCTCTACCAGTAGGACTGAGGCTTTCCCCATCTATTCAGACCTACACAGGGTGTAGGTCAGACCTACCCTCTACCTATTTCCCCTTCAAAGTGGCTCCATCCTGACCAGCCAGGATAGTGCCTTTTGGACCAATCAAACTGCAAGGATTTGGGGTCCTCATTTGCACGAGGATGGACCAGTCAGGAACCAGGGATGGGGACTTCTGTGTATATAAGTCAGCTCCCCTCTGGCTCTGAGAGCGCACTTTCCCTTTCCACCAAAAGCTGGAGTTTGCTCCAGTTGGAGCTAACACACTGAAGATGTCTCTCTGGAGCAGAGCAGAGTGGAGCAGACCAGTGCAGGGCACCCAGAGCAGAGCAGGCTGGTAGGGTGCAGAGCTGTCTAGCCGGAGAAATGGTCTGGTCCTAGGGCACCTCATCTCAGGGCCTCCTGGCCCTGGGCTGGCCTAACAGCAGTGCTCTTTCCACAACCGTGCTGTCACAGTTGAGATGGGTCACAGCCTTTCTATGTCACAATTGAGCTATTTGCACAGAATAAAGTGTCTTTCTTTACCACATTCCAAATTGGGGGTTTCTGTTGGTGTTCCGTTGATGCCAATGACCTTCTGTTGACGCTCCATGGTGATGCGGATGGGACTCCGAAGCAGTGTTCCCTCACCTGGGAAGATCCCTCACTTTCTAGCCACCCTCACCCGGTGCCTGCCACCCTGCCTACCCTCTCCCTATTTCCCCTCCCCCACCTTTGTCTCCAGTGGGCAGCAGCCATCTGATGCTCGGGCTTCCCCTCTGGAGCCATTTTTCAATCTTGCCCCAGGAAAATTGGCCCATCTTAAGTCTCAGGCATTTGGGACGGTTCTCTTAACTTTTGGAGCTTCCAACTTTATTGTGAATACTTGCTTTCTATTCCTTTGGTGATTGTTAATAAGCACACCTTACAGAGAAACTTTAGAAATGAGAATCTCAGACCTCTCAGAGACAATGAAATACATTCTTTTATTAAAAATAAAACAGCTTTAAAGGAATTCTTACAGCATGCAAAACTTTGACCATCTGAGCAGAACCTCAACCTAGTGCAGTTTTTAGAAAATATATTTAAATCCATATTTTTCTTTTTGGTTTTGTATTGTGATGTCTGTTTATGTGTGCCTATGCATGTCTGTTTATAGATTTGGTATATTTTCATCCCTAAATGGTACTGCCAAAAATTGATTTGTAAAATCAAATTTAGATTGTAAAGGGATCTACTCAATTGGCTTAAAACAAATGACCACCTATGCAAACTGAAGAAATAACAGCACTAAGGCAATTGCTTTTGAAGTGCACATAATCTAGGATTAACCTTTAGTGAATAAAAACTAGCTTGAGGATGTTGGTTTAATTAAAGACATGCAGTTGCCCACTATTCTCTGGCTGTGGGGCTGACAGACCAGATAGGAAACCAGGGTAATGAATTCAGAGACCTTAATGTGTCATTTGACAAGGCTAAGAAGACACAAGGTCTCTCAGATTAAGACCCAGACGTTTGTGAGGAAGCCCGATTGGGAGGTTAGGGTGACGGAAAATGAGTGCAGGTAGAGAATAAGGTGTGTGTTTGGTAAAAGAAGGTATGAGCAATGGAAAGACATTTTTAATGAAGGAAAAGAAAGTATCCTTGTCCTAAAGTGAATGATTGTTCTGAAATTAAAAGTGGAAAAAGGACAAAGATAAAAGGCATATGAAAGTTGCAGGAAGTTTGTGTGTGTTGCAGAAGCTTCATGGGAAAGGATTTTTGAAAAAAATAATCTTATGTTTGGTCAAATCAAGGTTAAAATGAATTTATTGAAGTTTAAGTACGCAGATACAGAATTGGATGTGGTTTCTCTCTGTGTTAGAAGGACAGAGGTTTTTGGTTTTCCTGTACTATCGGTATGCTCTCAATCAAAAATCACAAAGAAGGAGTAAGACGTACTCTGCACCATCAGTCCTTTGATTGCTTAGGTAAACAAAACCTTAATATTTAAAGAGCTAAATTTTATTTCTAACCATTTAATTTTCTATAATTGTGAAGTTTTTTAAGTGAATAATCAAATGTGTAACTAAAATAAGGGAATCTCTCTTTAGAAAAGGGAAATAAATCTAGGCCTATTTGTTGTTTGGAAAGTGGATTTCGATCCAGTTGCCACCCCAAAGGATAAAAATACATTAATGATTATCCATATGTGTTTTCATTGGTTAGGGCTACAGGCACAGCAGTTACTAAAATACTTCCAGAAAGTCTGATTTTGGCTACTAGAAAATCCCCACAGAGTCCCACAGGGACTGGGGAACCCATTTTACTAGACACATTCTACACCGGGTAGGCAGACCTCGCTGATACTGCAGCATTTTCATTGTGCTTGTCATCCCCAGTCCTCTCGTCTTACAGAACAAGCTGACAAGATAGGTAAAATGCAGTTGGTAAAGTCTGTTGAATCTTTTAATCTGCCTTGGCCTAAAGTCTTTCCCATGGTATTGCTTAATTTAAGATCAATTCCTTTTGGTATGGATCTATTGTTCCCTTCTAAAATTGTTACTGGAAGGAAGGCCTATCCTGTGAGGTTGGATCTGGGAATGTGGGAACTTGCCTTACTAAGGAGACCTTCTCACTTGCTGCTGAGAAGTTATAGAGGCTCTTGAAATTAGCACGAGCTCATAGGGCAGTCTTCCCACAGCACAATTCTGGGAGACGCCACCGAGCATCATGGCCTACGTACGACCTGCACGAGGTCCATCAGTGGAACGTCTCCCAGGGACTCCCTCCAGCCTTGCTGGAGTGGACTATGCCAGATATTGTTAACTAATCCCTGAATTGCAAGGTTAAAAGGTATCGATCCATGAATTTGTTATTTTAAAAGGCCCCCTAACTTGCACCTCCTTCACCTAATTGAACACCCCAACCTATAGGAGACCTCAAGTTAGTTGCCCAGAGCTTGGCTTTTGCCTTGACAGTTTTACATTAAATGTCTTATCTTTGGGTCTGTATTTACCTTGCTGAAAGAGATCAGAAAATGTTCTATTTTGCTGGTAGTATTCCTTAAGTAACTATTAACACTATTTTTATAAATGAATATATTTAACTCATAGACTGACAGATTTCTTTGAAATTTTCTCCTTCCTCCTTTCTGAGCTTATTCTAATCTGACTGTAACTTCTGGACATTTGTCTATAACTGATGAAATGACCCCATTTGGGTCCCAGGTGGTGCAGCAGCAGACAGGGTCAGGCTGAGGAGCCAAGTGTCACTGATGTAAGGCAGAGAGCAGTGAACCAAGGTGCTGTGGAGGGGAGAGCTCACAGGCAAATCCCTATAAAGTGTCCCTTTACCACAAAGCTGAGACTTTCAGAGGGAAATGTTAAAGGAAAGTAATTACTAAAATAATAATTTATACATGTGATTAAAACACTCCATATACTGAAAGTAGGGAGCTGTCTTGGAGGATTAGTCTGAATATAACATGCCAGAGGCTCCCCCTAAGCACCCACAAGCCTGCCTGCTCCCTCTAGGCCACCGTAAAAGGTCAGAATTGGCCCCAAAATGTCACCTCACCCTCTGCACCTCTGCAGAAGTTCTTTCACCCAGAGGTTTCGAAGTGTTTTTACACATGTAAATTCACCGGCCTCATCATCACTTCTCTCTGCAGAGATGGTTCATTTCAGTAACACAGAAATTTACCCGAGTGGCTAGTCAAGGTCCCCTGAGAGGTCCTTTGTGGCATCTTGAAATGGACGTTCAGAGTGTAAAAGTACCTTGCAGCCTCGCTGCAGATCCAGACTCATCGCATCCTTTGGCAAATACCGCTGGAGGGCGGGGCGAATCATCTTCTTTCATCTGTACAGCAAGGCTCCTACCTTGGGCCTTTCCTCAGCCCCACTGCGCACCCACGTTCCTGGAGGCCCAGACTGCAGCTCTCCTCTTTCCCATCTTGCCTGTTCCAAAGGCCAAGTGAAGACAGGACACGCATTTAGAAAAGATTTTTAATCAATCACATCGATTAAATAAGTAGTTAGCCATATATTCTTTTGTTACTCTTCTCTTTATGAAACTCTTGTTTCCACTCACTGTGCCAGACACAGGGAGGACGACGGTCATGCTTCTGCCTGCATGGGAAGGGCAGACAGTGAACGAGAATCGGGCGCCCTGTGGGCAGCGCCGTGAAGATGACTGACGAGTGGGCTGGGCGAGGCAGGTAGGAGTGGAGGGTCAGGGAAGGTTTTCTCTAAGCAGGTGATACTTGAAGTATGACCTGGAGCATGAGAATAAGTAAGATGTTTTATTATATTTTATTTTTGCATCTTACAGATTTTTATTTCTAATAAAGTAAATATTAATCTTTCATATCCCACATAAACAAAAGCTCTTTGGTGGTAGTGGGGGGGGGGTCCTTTTCTTTCTTTCTTTTTTTTTTATTCCAGAGCAAAAGGGTCTTGAGTCCAAAAGTGAGAAAACCACTGTAGTTTACCCCAAGCCATGCCTGATCCATGTCTTGCTCTGGCCTCATAAAGCGCCATTGTGATGGAATCGCACACGGTTCCCATATATAGGCCCTGGCTGGGCTGAGATTTTGTCCGTTGATGCCCAGGAAGCTGATTGTGGTGACCTGCTGGACTTGGACTCGTCGGTGTTGTTGTTGGCATTGCTTTTCATTTTGTTTTCTTTTTCTTACTTTTTGTCACAGTTTACAGTTTTTTTCATTTTCCTTTATTATTTTTCTTCTTTAATTTTTTTGGTTTGTTTTCATTTTTTTGTTTTAACTTTGTTTTAGTTTCTTTCTTTTTGTTCTTATTTTGATGCCACAATGACTAATGAATGACCTTGCAGCCAGCTTTGGCATTAAAGAGAGCTTTATTGGTGATTACACCCTCCTGAACACCATTGGCAAGGGATCCTTTGCCAAGGTGTGGTTGGCCTGCCACGTGTTGACAGGGACAGAGGTGGCTGTCAAGGCCATTAACCAGTGTGACATAACTAGATATTTTGAAGAAGCCCATTGCCTTAAGAGCTTAAATCACCCAAATATAACAAAATTATTTGAGGTGATTGCCACCGAGGAGAAACTTTATCTCATTATGGAGCACGTGAGCGGAGGGGACTTACTTGACTACCTGGAAAATCACGGCCCCAGGAGCGAGAGGGAAGCCCAAGCCATGTTCCGGCAGCTCATATCAGCGGTTCAGTACTGCCACGGGAAGGGAATCATCCACCGGGACCTGACGCCAGACAACATACTGATTGATGGTGAGCGGAATATCAAACTCGCAGATTTTGGCTTTGGTCGGGAATTTACCAATTATAAACTGACCACCTACTGTGGCACCATACCCTACATGGCCCCAGAGATAATGCAGCATCAAATCTATAATGGCCCGAAGGTTGATGCCTGGAGCCTGGGCGTAGTTTTGTATAGGATGCTGGTGGGAGATTTGCCGTTTGTAGGGGACACCTTTGGGGAAATAAAGAAGAAGATACTGCATGGGAAAGTCCGTATACCACGCCAACTATCCGAAGAAGGTCAAAAACTTTTAAAAAAATTATTGATCCTTGACCCCAGGAGAAGACCAACCCTTGAAGACATAATGAGTGATCCATGGGTCAACATGGGCCAAAAGGAGGAACTAAGGCCATATAGTGAGCCACCTGGGGGTGACATTGACCCCCAGGTGACAGAAACAATGAAGAGCATGGGATTTAGGGAGCACGAGATTCAGGAGTCCCTGACACAGAAAAAATATAACAGGGTGATGGGAACGTACCTGATCCTTAAAACATCGAAAACCCAGATGAAGGGCCACACCATCCAAGTGAGGCCCAGGCCCTCCCCTGACCCCAGCAGCAGGAACAGGACAGAAGAGCCTGCAGTTCCCTCAAGCTGCCTGGGGTCAAGGACGACCACTCCCCAACCCGGCCTGGCATCCAGCTCCTCTTCCTCCAGCAGCCAGGAAGAGAGGATGATGGTTCCCCCACCTAGCCTGGCATCCAGGACAAGCACTTCCCTGCCCAGCCCAGAGTCTGGGACGGCCACCCCCAGCCAGGCCCTCCCTCATGGCCCTGGGGGCTTGCCCACCACCCACAGCAGAGGCAGCTCCAGCAGCAGTAGAAGAGCCTCAGATGGAACCACCGCTGAGGTCTGCTTCCAAACAGCACAGCCCATTGGTGGGACCCCAGTCTCTACCTCTGGCCACAGGCAGGATTGGCAGGGGGTGGCTCAGAGAGCCTTCAAGCTTTTCTTAAAATGCCCGTGCTGTGAGCCGTCCACCAAGCAGGGTCACAAAAGGACCAAAGTCAAGCCCGAATAATTTTTAAAATTGTGGACGGCCCAGGCAGACCCACAGTCAAACTCTGGGGAAGTCAAGCCACACTCCCTGCACTTTACATGCTGAACCTGAAGGCGCTGAGCTCCAGGGAGCCCGGCCATGTGGTGCTTGAGCCAGAGGCTGGAGCAAGCAGCTGCAGGAGAGACGGTGCCAGAAACACACGCTGTACATGTAGGTGAGAGGACTTGGTCCAGTGGACGATGGAGGTGTGCAAACTGCTGCAGTGTTCTCTGCACGGGATTTACATGCGGGGCTGCCTGGCTTCTCCGTGGCCTTCCTGCTGAGGGACAGGAGAGGAGGCCACCCTCCCTGGGGGTCCACCCCTCAGCCCACACCTGAATGGACATTTTTCCTGAGGCCCTTCTCCCCTCCCCTCCTCTCCTTTGCTCCCATTTTGGGGGTGTTCTTATTAAAGTACTTGTTTGGCCAAATTTTATAATAAATTTGATGATTTACAAAGCTATATTGAATACTTTGTTTTTTATCCTCTCTGCACAGAATTGGGGTGGGTCATCCTGTAGTTTGAGAAGCTCGTAGTGCTATAGTACATACTTGGGCTTTAATATGGAAACTCCCAACAATGATGAATGTAGTGTTGCTGGGGAAATGGGTGCTGGGCAGGTTCCAGGTACCAGGGCACAGCATGAGGTGGAGTGTTGGAAACCATCCTGCCTGGTTTCAGGAGCTATAACCCTGCTGACAGGTGAAAAGGCCCCATGGCTAGCAGACCTTGGGACAATAAGCCACTAAGGAGAGAAAACTTATCTTCCTGGCAGGGGCCACTGGAAGATGGCTGGATAGTCAAAGACAGGTAAGATTCCTCAAGAAAGAAACAATCTAAGACAGGCACAGTTGTGAAGGGGCCATTAGGGAAGAACTTAGGGGACTGTGGAGAAGGGACAAAAAACCCTCACCCCTCAGCTTTATCATAGCCTGAGTCCTCATTCTATCTGTAAAAAGTCTCCTAATCCCTTGGCTGAAACAATGCCAAAGAGGGGTGCAGGCCCTGTGCAGGAACTGGAGGTTCCCAGTAGGGGGTGATCAGGCCTAAGAAAGAATGTATAAGGTCCTGTGAAACCTGCTTTGCTAAGAATGTCCTCAATTTAAATGTTAAGGGTCCAAGCACAAAATAATTGTTTCCCAAAGTTTTACAGCTGATTGACATCACCCTGTCTATCAGGCCCTGACTCAAAAGGACTCCCATGACCCCAGAAATGTTATCTGTAAACCATACCTCCTTTCTTTGATATGTATCCCTATGCAAGCTAAACTCAGTAAAAGGCCATTGAGAGAGGGGTTTGACACCTTTCTCCTGAGAGACTGGTTAGCCTTTCCTTCCCAAGCAGATCATGTCTTGGTAGGCTTATTCTCATCTGTGGCGGCCGGGGGAAGCCTCTCCACAGAGGAGCAGGCAGAATCTCTATTGTTATGTAGCCCATAGCGGATGCTCTATGACATCAGCAGGAATACCCCTCCTGACCTCTTGGCTTTGCTTACTTCCCTAGTTGCTGGTTTCAGTGTCAGGGGACTGTCCCCTCTATACAAGTCAGACTTGTAAAGCCCTGGAGGAAGAGTGCTCAAGGCAGAGGGAACAGCCAAGCCCCAGCAGCCCGAGCTTAGTGAGCTGGAGTGAGGGCAGCAGGAGATGGGGCTGCAGAAGAAGGGCAGAGCTCCTGGGTCATGGGAAGGGGTGCGGGTTTGACTCTAAAAACAACGATGAACCCTTTTAAGCAAGGAAGTAATATGATCTAATTTATGTTTTAAAACTAGTAAATTGTGGTGAATACTCTTCCTCTGCAAACATTTTTATCTATTTATACAGATAAGATTCACCAAGCAGGGCAGGTTTTTGTATAACCACTGAAGAAATATGAGTCAGAAACTGTGTTTTTCTTACTTTAATCCCTTACCACCCCAGTTCCTTGAGCACGTAGGAATGCAAATTAATACATTTTTAAAAGGAAAAGCCCTACCTGCCTCTGCAGAGCTGATTCATTGTTCTTAACCACTGACTAGCTGACCTTCTTGCCCTTTGCACTGAGGAACCTGCCGTGTTCCTTCATCTGACATCCTGCCCTGAGACCCCAACAGCGTATGGCATAGACCTACATGGGACTCTCATCACATGGTGTTGTCATTAAGCGGTTCCCTTCCCCTCCTTGCCCTGATCTCCCATCCCTGACCTCTCTGGGGACTGGGAGCTATCTTGTTCACCTTTGTGTTTCCAGTCATTATCAGAAAGCCAGGTCCAGAGTAGGTGCTCGGAAAATGGACAGTGAACCATCAACCCGGTGAGACCACAGTGGACTGGACCAAATCAGGACGCACTGCAGCGTAAAAGGGAATGTGATGAATGATTGTGCTGTGACAACAGTGTAAACTGGACTGGGTTTGAACTGGGATGTATGCACCTCGGGGAACATTGAAAAGCATTATGAACAAAATTGTGAAGTCTCCGGTTCTGGGGATCTGTTAGAAGGCACTCGTACTCACTCCATTTGCTCGAGCTGCTTTAGACCAATGGTCCCCAAAGCACAGACATCATAATATAAACAGTGTTTGTAAGTAGCCAGGACATCAATATTAAGTTATACAGATTCACACTCTCACAATGTAATTCTTTTTCAATTCTACTTTAGTATTTTTACTTATTACAAAGAGATGCTCTCTGTTTGGTGCTAGATTATCTTTATCCCCTCAAACTCCCACTAATCTTCATTTTTAAATGAAAAGTAAATAAGCCTCAGGATCAGAACCTTTGAATGAGAAATGGTATTAATATTACTGTGTTAATTATATTTATTTTATGCTTTCCTTTTCTTCATGGCAAATTATGATCATTTTCTAGGTAGGATTGGGCTGTAGAATTTCATTTTCAATTAATCTTTTGAAGTAAAAAAGATAAGATTTAAAATGTCTATGATACAGGAAATAAGTATTTCCTGAATACTTATTCAGGAAAATATTGTATTTATTTGTATAATCTTTTTCTCATGATAAAGACTGTGCATGCTTGTTGTTGGAATATGACCCTGGAAAATTCATAGCAGCAAAAATATAGTTAAAAAGTAAAAAGAAAATAACATAAAATTACACAATTCAGGGAAAAATTTAATGTGAGTTTTTATATCTTTCACAAATATGATCATTTTTAATTTTTAAATATTAATGCATGTTTAAATCTGAACCCCAGATTCCCTGTCCCATCCTTTGCCCATATTCAGCAGCTGCTCTGCCTTTTGCAGCGAACACGAAGCTGCAGCCAAACAGAGCCCAGATACCTGCAGAAGGGAAGCAGAGGGTGACACCAAACAGCCCTCCCAGAGATGAGACATCAGAAAGATTTGTTCTCCAGGGTCTGCAGTTCCCGGAGCCTCATAAATAATTCACTTGGGTAATATTTTACTGAGAAATGCACAATCACCTCGAAAGCCTGAGAAACTAATGGGCACTTAGAAAAAAAAAACCTTAATGAAAAACATCAATGCTTTGACCAGACACCCTTCTCCAACCTCAGTATGTTTTTTCCTTCTTGGAAGAAACTCAGTAACACACAAATGAGTGTGTCGTCATTGCCCACCTAGTATGTAAAGCTTCAGCCTCAGTGGCAATGTGCACGAAGTATATGAACCTAATAAGCACTCGAGGTTTCTGTTTTTTCTTCCTCTTTCACAGCCAGCAAGTGGACACTGTGTTTCCGCGAAGAAGTCATTGCATCAATTCTTTACTTGACCTCTTTGCTGACTTACATTCCCTGTCCCATGACAAAGATATTTTAGTCCATCTGCTCATTATTGAGCATGAATTTCCCCCATTGCATTTTAAGCCACTGGTTTGTGTTTCTTGAGACACACTTCTTACATATCCTAATTGTGAATGGCCAGAGAATGTGGATCATTTATGAAACTCCATCATCACTCCCCAGCAGAGGTGGTGGTTTTCAGGGGCGATGGAGAGGACTAACTGAATGGTTAGAGTGTGGGCTCTGGGGCAGGCTGCCTGCTTTGAACCTAAGCTCCACCACATGTGAGCTGTGCAACACTGAGCATCGTCGCTGACGTTTCTGTTTCAGCTACCATGCTTGTTAACTGTAGGTACAATCGTTCCTACCCAAAGGTGATTGTGAGGATTAGGTTAATAAATAGAAAGCACTCGGGGCAGGGCTGGCCCATGGGAAGCATTTTAAAATCTTAGCTTTTCTCAGTTATCTTGCCTTATTAAGGCGCTTGCTAGGTGAGGCTCTTCTACCTGGCATGCAGCAAATACTAATTGGAGAAATGAATGTGTGCTTTCTGGTGTTTCCACCCTGAAGCTGTGGCTGTATCTACTTCTCTGTTTTTTATTCTGCTTTCCATTGCTGTAGGTCGAATTTAAGGGGTTGGTTCTGTCCTCCTCCTGTGTCCTTGGTTCTCCATGCAGGATTCCACTGAGGATGTGCATGAACAGCAGAGGAGGCAAAACAAAAGGCAGTTTGTCAAATTAGGTGCCATTTTTTCCCTGCAGTGACAAATCTGTAAGTGATCAATTTCAGCTGATACTACTGAGTTTTTAGTTATCTGCTTGCTAACAGATAACTGAGGCCTATTAAAACTTTTTAGAGTTTATTTGAGCTAAAATCAATTTGAATCGAACATCTTTTAATCTAGCAGACAGAAAGGAGCTCCGAGGAGCCATGCAAAAAGTCCTTGATAGGCAGAAGGGAGCGAGGACAAGGAGTTACACTAGACAAAAAGCAGCTGGTTATTGCAAAGTTCCTGTCCTTTGCGGGCAGCAGGGGTGTCTCAGGCAGGTTACCTAACTAGTGCTGATCAGGTGATTCCTGATTGACAGGTGTAAGATTTCACTTCCAATGGGCTGAAACTGTAATTAAGTCTTCATTTGGTGACATGGGCCTTAGCATAATCGATTCCATTTTGGGTCAGTTGTCTTGTTAACCATGTAGAAGCACTATGTGTAAAATAAAGTCATCTGGAGGCTTCTAA